TGAGACGGAGAGAGCGAGAGAGAGCAAATGAAAGAGTAAATGGGGGGCGAGCGGATGAAAGAGCGAATAAGGGGTAATGGTGGAGAAAAATTACCAATAGTGAAAGGCAGAGAGAAGGAGAGCAAAGAAAGGAGTCACCACAAAGAAGGAGTTATGACTGCTGTAGTGATTAGTTCTGTTTTTAGCCCTGCAGAGGTGTAGGTCAATATTCACTACCTAGTACTCTACCTAGTGTGTGTGTGTGTGTGTTGCAAGGGGAGGTATTTGTCTTTTTTTTTATATGGAGGCCTGGAACCGTAGAAAACCAGCACTATCATTACACTACTGAGGTGGCCGACAGCACTGCAATTAACTTGAACGCCATTCACACTAGACATCTGGGTGCATGTGCAGTAACACACACACACACACACACACACACACACACACACACACACGCACCCGCTCTCACACACCTTTATACATCACATATCATCCACTCAAGTCTGTTGCTCTCATAGCCACAGTGACTGGGCTGGTGCCTCTAGAGATCCATGAATCTTTTATTGTCACAAGCTAAATGCCGCAAGTAGGTCTTTCTTTCTTTCTTTCATAACTTTGTGTTTTTTTTACGTTTTCTTCGTTTATATTTAATTTTATTGCATCTTCTGGGTATTTGTATTATGGGTTTTGTAAGCAAGCATTGGTTGACTAAGATGGCAGCACTGTCATTTCTGCAATTTTATAGATGAATATATATTAAACCTTGAACTTTTTAAGGCAACTCTTCCACAGATAAATAAAGAAACATTTTGTATGTATGTTGTATGTTTTGTGGAGCCATTGTGAAATTAAAAACACCAACAATTGTATTTTGGTGAATTTTTGGAAGATGTCTGACACCAAAGTCTCAGTAATTTTACAACATGCAGAATGTAAGCCCACATTCTATAAATCTAATACTATCTAAATTCCTTGAAATGTAAAATAAAATCCACATTTGGCCTTACTGTGAGCAGACAACATTTTTTCTCCTGCATTTTTCTGAATGTATTTCATGTAAAAAACTGTAGCCTTTGTACTGTTTTAACGTGATATTAGAGCTGCCTTTGGTCCAGCTGAACCCGGGGAATCCCTGCGTGGTTCGACGCCTACCTGCTTCGGCATCACAGCTCTCTTACACCTGGTTTGGGATGACTCGCTGTTGTCCTCATACCCTAGTATCTGCTCCATCCGCTGCTGCTCTCTCCTTCTCCTGCTCTCTTGTCATGTATTTGCTCTTTCTCCCTCTCCTATTTATTTACTTTCTCCTTGCACATTTCCGCCCCTCGTCTCCTCTGTTCTTCTGTTCCTGTATAAACTGGTCAAGGAGGCTGATACTGTACATTTTGATGGTGTGTGTGTGTGTGT